GCTTTCGCATCCTGCACTTAGTTTGAGTCTTTCGGCCAGGGTGCAGTCATAATGGTCGTTTGACACTTGGCGCTGGTAAACGGCAGCAGCTCTCTAGAGCACAGCAGAAAATGCTGCTTCAGTATTATTCTGATCATTATCCGCTTGTCGAAATCGTTGACATTTCGACGATGTCACCACAACAAGGTGCAGTCTTCCTCACCACAACCGTTTATGTTCATGATTATCTCGTGCTCGATGGACGTCGCATCACACCGTCACGAGGAGTGGGATGGAAAGCTCCTAATTCTATCATCCAAATCAATCTCGGAAACACGCGCTATGTTGGCGAGCTTCGCGCCATCATCACACATCGACAGGTTAATATTCAAGAATCTCAGCACTTGGTACATGTTGAGTGGTTCATTGACTTAGCCAATATGGATACAAGTGCATGGGAACCTTAGTAAGTGGCTTTTCATCTATTGAGTTCGAATTAATGACACATTTCACAGTCCTGAGCTGGAGGTCAAGTTCTGGGAGTATAATACCTATCAAGATCCTCTAGTATCTGGCCCGCCGGCACTCATTCCAGCATCATACATCCAGTCTCAAGCATGCCGTGTGACGATTAAGAAGTTTCCGGTGCGGCCGCAAGGATATGAGACCGGCGACTCAGATAATGCCAGACACGAAAATTCTGCATCGGTGCCTCGCAAGATTTGGGCTACAACGGGCTTAACAAGAGTACGTAGCATCTATTCAGATCACATACGTGGAATCAGATCAATATTCGCCCGCAGGATGCCATGATTACATAGAAATCTTACCATCATGATAGAGGCCCTCAACCTCACTGTCTACGCCCTCACGCTCATTGTTCATGTGTTCGCTGTTAACATCTTCACCCTCCTCCTGCTCCTCTCGTTCTGATGATGAAGACGAAGATGATGAGGATATCTCAACATCAGTAGGCTCGTCTTCAAAGCCAGGTGGATTCTTCTTGAACATCCTAACCTCATCCATAAGTTCTGGATGTTCCTTTACCCATGCCATGCTGATTGCGAATGGATAGATCTTGCTGGGTGGTAC